ATTGATCCCTGCTAACCAGCTCTGGGGTTCTATCTCTTCATGCCCTCTGCTGGCCATCTTTGCTTCAGTCAACTCGGATTTAGTGGCCAGAAAGCCCTAATTAAGGCAGGCCCAGCTGCCTCTGGTTAATAGTTAGCAGATTCCTGCCAAAGTCCTAATGCAAACAGAAACAGCTTTCCCAGACTTCAGAGAACAATTTGTCCCTGTTTTATGCACAAATTTCTTTCTAGTCTGCATTATAAATACTATATATTTATTATATAGTCTCGCTCACTTGGCAACTCCCATGCATGATTGTAAACACTATGAGGGAGGTTTTCTAAACTCTGTATCAACCCCAGTGCCAAGCACAGTGCTCTGCTCGCAGTAAATATTTAATAAAAGTTTGTTGAATGAGGAAGGCAGCATGGTGTGATGGAAAGAGTACTGGAGTTGGAGACATGTGGCCTGGATTTGAGTTCTATTTATTAGCTGTGTGATCTGGGGCTAGTTGCTTAACTTCTCACCTGCAATACTAGATGTAGCAAAAGTAAGTCCACCGCCTAAGAAAATGGCAGTGATTCTGTCCAATTCAAATATATCCGTTCCATAGTATCCATGGTGCAATATCACAAGTCCTTTGCAGTTCTCCCTAGAGATAAGATAAGCCTACTAAAGCATGGTGGGATAACACCAGTGGAATTCCATGAGTGAAATGTGGAAGTAGAGGATGGGTTCCTGTGTTTGATACTTAGGCCCATAACCTCACACCCAAAGACATTGTACCTAGACACTTACTTGGAGTCTAGAAGACCTGGAATCCCACCTCAGAGACTTATTAACTATATTTCCCCGTGCAAACTCTATCCACCTCAGTGTCCTCATTTGTAAAATGAAGACGTTGGCCTTGAAGGTCCCTTCTAGTCCTAAATCTACGATACTATAATTGCTTTACAAGCAGGAATCCAGGATTGGCAGATTATGGTTTCTTCCCACTGGAAAGGATCACAGTAGTATTTGTAGTTGATACAGAACATGGTATACAGTGCATTGCCTTGATCACAGGTAGTAAACATCTGTAATGCAGTCCTAGATGCTTCACAGAATGATAGGAAGCTAGTAATTGAAAGCCAGTCCTAAAACACTGAGTGAGAAATACAAAAAGGGTAATAAGCAAGATCAAAGAGAGCTTGTGATAAAAAGGGAATCCACAGATGGAAGAGCCTGTAGGATTCGGTGGCACTCATATTCTGGCCAGGCCTGTGCATGCTTGTTTACAGGCTTCCAGCCAAATTTTTGCTTTTAACTGCATTTGCCTAAGCCTTTGATGTCTCTAAGGATATTCCTGTGCCTTTGTGACCAAGGGGCAGGTACATTTATGAGCAAATTTATTTGTGAGGCAAGAAGACACCCAAGTGTTCTGATACTACAGACTCAATAACTGAACAATTCAACTCAAGAAACACATTAAGCACCTCACCAATGAAGACAGAACATGAAAAGTGGCATCCAAGGGGGATTACCTGCATGTATGAGCAGAAATGGAGGTTGTAGAGCAATGACCACAAATGGTCTGAGCACTTCGCTATTATCCATGAAACATTCAGAGAACCCAAGGAAGGCCTTTAGCAGATCGGATATCTTTTCTATGAAGGATTTATGTAAAGACCTGGAAGAGAATCAAATGAGATGAATATGCCCAGGGGCTAAGAGAGACCCCACTGAGAAGACCGAAAATTCAGCTAGTTGTCTTGGGGATACAAAGTTTAAACAAGATACCATATCTGACCTTAAGGCGTTTATAATCTAGTGGGGAACAAAATACAAATCTATTCTAATCATCAAACATTTCTTAAGCACTTACTATATACGTGGCACTGTGTTAAGACATTGAGGATTCAAAGACACCGTGTTACGTGGGGGATACAACCTGTATATACAACAAAGGACACTGAAAAGGGAAAGAACCCTAACTACTAAGGGAATTAGTACAGGCTTCCCAGCTCTTGACACCAAACCTAACAGGAATCTGATGCCACACTACCCTTCATTGTAGATTATGAATACCAGTTCCCTTTTAGTTGCTTTACATTGCTTTACACCTTTTGTGGATGGCGGCACTTGTCGCATAAGTCTAGGGGCATAATAAGAGTAGATGTACCTATTTGGACTTCAAGGACTCGTGGCACCCTTACTCACTTGGAAACCTGGTCTTCTTCAAGGTTCTATCATACAGTCATTCATACAAGGACAGGAAAATTGTATATAATTCTTTACTCACAGCCATAGAAGCAAAAGAAAAAATATATCTGTAATATATTTATATAAAAATATAACAATATATAATACAAAACACATACACACACACACACACGCAAACATATATATAAAATAACCATTGAGTGTGTGAGATGCCCACATTCCTCACAGATTCAAGGAGTCTATAGCGCTGGTATCAAAATCCCATTAAATTGTACATAAGGACCCTGTGGGCCACATACTGACTTAGGAAAACACATATTTATTTCTATTGATATATCAATACATGAAAATCAGATAAGAACTAGATACAACTAATATACTAAAAAGAAATATAAATTTGACAATTTTTTCCCAATATTTATGTGTGTATATATTACATGCATGTATACAAATCAGATAGGAATTAATTATTGGCAAAAAGATGCATAAAATTTTGTTTTAATATTAAATAGATTCAAAATCATTATAAAGCATTTCAGCACATGATTCAAAATCAATATTGTTTACTAGATACTTGGCATCTTTTGCCAGAAACTATTTTTATCAATATTGAGCATAAGTTTTGTCATAACAGTCTTCTTCAGTACGTATGATAAATGCTTATTATTAATCTCACCCTATATGAAGTTTTAATAGTCTTCAGGAATGAAAACAATACTCACATAGGCATGCACTACCAAACATTGTTAAGATTCTTGTAGCAAACATGCACATCTGAACAAAATTCTTAAAAAAAAAGTAAAAATAAAAATCTAGAATACTCACTTCAGTATATTTTTATTTTTAGCACTATGATACATTGAACAAATTCCATTTGAATGTTACTTGCTGATCTCTTAACATCAAAAGAAAACAGAATGCTAAATAGTAAAAATAAAATTGTTTTCACACATTTGAATCCTTCAAATCATCTTTCAATTTCAATATAATTACTGGATCTTTGAGGCATACTTGCTGAAATTACAAAACCCAAATGAACCTTGATAATTTTTACGTGTGGAAAAAAGTCAAAGCACAATTTTTAGTTGCCTTTCTCAAAGACCAAGGTTTATCTTGAATCTTTGAGTGCAGTTGTACATAAATGTTAAAACACAATTTCAACCCTGATGTTTTAAATTCAACTCATTTAAATGCCCTGTAATATTTACAATGAAAGCCAAATCCTGAAACCAATTCTTGTCAGTAAGTTGTTCTGGCTAATGCCCGTCATTTCTTAAACATGTTGATTTCGTTGCAAAAGTTGCCAAAATCAGTTCAAAACCTCAGGAAGGGAAGTCCATCAATTCCTGTTTAATCAAGTAAATCTTTCTGCTCACTTTCAACTTCCAAGAGTAATAAAGAAAACTGTCATTGAGTCAATCCTCAAGAACATTTAAATTCATTCTTCTCTTTGTTTTTGAACACAAACTTCCTGCTATATAATGCAGTGAACATAATGAAACTTAGCATCAGCAGCAACTTCATTCTCTTAGCTAATAATTTAACTACAAATTCATCTGTTATCCTTGTCATTGCTGTTGCATTATCTGCAGTCACATACTAGCCCTGATTATTAGGAAGATTATACTTTTTTAAAAGTCCACATACTTACTTAAAAATATCCTCACCTGTTATGGTGTCATTAAGAAAAATAATATTAAGCAGTTCCTTACTCACAGTAATATTTTCATCATATGAGCAAATAAATAAGGCTACTTTAACCAGTTCACTAATGCACATACTTTAATTGACTGCAATAAAAAAAAAGTCAATTTGCCAGTTTTGATTTAAGTTTTCCACTGACATCAGTGGCAATTTCGTTAATTCTTCCCACAACAATATTTCATGATAGTGAAATATTCTGAAAAGTTTTAACTTTTTAAGCACAAAGAATTTCAGTCACTTTCACTATATATTTCACAAATTCACAAAGGTGTTTTGTGAGGGTGTTTAGTGAAGACTAAAACACTTTGAATGTTTAGCTGTGAGTTTTGAAATAACATAACTGGCTTTGATCATACTCTTACTTTTTCCGTGGGATTTTGTAATTTTCTTTTCAAAGTACAGGTTTCAATTATTTTTCAGCAATTTCAGTGAATTTTTGTGCCTCTTTTACCATTAAGCCAATTCTGTTTTTTAAGTTGATATTTTCTTCAGTATTTTTTGTGCCTCTTTTACCAAGATGTTCATTCTCTTTTCACAATTTTCTTGCATCACTCTCATTTCTTTCTTAATTTTTCCTCTACCACTCTTACTTCTTTAAGCCTTCTAGAATTCTTGTTGGGCTTGGATCCAATGAGCACTTTTTCGGGTCTACGGTGGTCGCTATTTTCACATTGTTGTCTTTTTCTGAGTTTGTGCCTTGTTCTTCCCTTCCACTCTATTTGATTTTTATGGCCATGTTCTTTTGTTGTTGTTGTTGTTGCTGGCTCACGCAAAAATCACTGGACTTGCAAGCAGAAGACTGATTTAGATCCAGTGCCATAAATTGGGGCAACCAGGTGACTACAGACTATACTTGGGTAACACCACACCTGGCCAGGGTGGTAGGACAATGGTTGTGAAACAGAGACCTCTAGATGCCAGAAACCAGGACATCTCTCCAATCTGATATTCTGTGTTAGGTGACAGAGGGAAAGCAATGGCACCCAAAAAGCCTGATGGAAGCATGGGGCAGATATTAGCAGACAGCAGAACAGATGGAAGCAAGGGGATGGCCTGGGGAGAGTTGCACTTGCATGCCTTTGGCTCTTAGACTCAGACTTGGTTCTTATTCACAGGATTATCAATATTCTGAACAAAGATGTTTATATCATCTTGCCTGTGGACACCTACAACCTCCCGAAATACAATGGGACCTCTTCAGAGCTAAGCATTAAGATAAGCAGGTGACTTATCATCTCCCTTATTATCCCTATGACTAATTTGGGGGAATGGGCAACCTGGGCCCCATCACCACTTAGTATAAGCAGCAAAACTTTTCCTGCTGTCTCTGATCCCCCTTAATGTTTATGCCTTCCCTCTTTTGATTATCTCCAATTTATCCTGTTCATATCTTGCTTTTTACATAGTTGTTTGCATGTTGTCTTCCCCATTACACTCTGAACTCCTTGAGAGCAGGGACTGTCTTTTGCCTTTCTTTGTATCCCCAGCACTTAACACAGTGCCTGACATAAGGTAGGCATTTAATTGACTGACTGACTCTCACCAGAAACGTAAATCTGCTTTGTATGATTGAGAAGAAGGAAAATGTGATAAAACTGGGCTTGCTGGAGTTTGGAGCCTCTTACCTGGTCTTTCTTACTGAGGTGAGTGACCAAAGCAAGGCCAGCCAAGATGTCTGAGCCTAGCTTCCTATCCCTATCCTCCTACCCACCCCAGACTCTTTCTCCTCTACCACCATATATACTCTGGCTTTCACTTACTTCCTCAGGATACCCCAACACTGAAAACCTGGAAAACAAGGCAGAATGAAATCAAGTCCCTTTGCATTGGGTGGCAATTACCACAGATACTTATAATGGGGATAGGAAAATATTTACTCATTGTTTCCTGCATGGAGTTTTTCTACTACAAGGTCAGAGATTCTTCAGGATTAGAAATAATACAGACAATGGAAGGAGAGTGGTGAAGAAGATGGTGGAGGTGGGGGGGAAGGGGTGTGTTAGGGACTAGGGGGAATGATAAGGAAAAACAGGGGGGAAGGAGTGGGAGATTAAGCTTAAACTCAAGTCTTTGGGAAATGTGCCAGGACCTGGATCTTGGTGGGAGTGACTAAACTGGCTTTTGTGCTGTAGGCCCCAGAAGGCATGAAAGTTACCATGCAGGCTTTGTGGACAAGCACGCTTTTCAGCAGTTCTCTGATCCTGTATTTTGTGAACTACATCTCCTTCCTGCCTGAGGTATATACCCCCCCTTCTTATATTGCCCTTTGTAAGACTACGTGCCCCAGACCCAGGTAGAACCTCTCTCCAGCTTCTCTAGGGCCTTGGGCCTCCCCTGGTCCATGCTGCCCCCAATCCCAGTCTTTGGCACCCATATCAGACCCTTAGCATGGGAGAGATCCAAATATTGTAAGAAACCTCACCATAACCATGGTAACTATAGCAGGGGCTATTTTTTTTGGCTGCTGCTAAGACGCCACTATGGGTTGGACCAGACTGCCACTGAGGTCCCCTCCATCTCTCAAATTCTGTGATTCTGTGATGGCCACCCTTCCTTATCTTCCCTCAAGGAAGGCAGCCCTAGGCTGGCCTCACTAAGGCCAAGCAGAATCCATTCCTAGACAACTCTGTGGCACTACCCAAGCTGTTGGTGCAGCCATGGCACAGTCACACTGGCTGCCCCCAGGCTGTCATCACCTACTGCTGGCCGTGAGGCCGCTTGCTTTTGCCTCTGGGACATGGGGTGGTCTAACTAAGATGAAAAGCAAGCTGCTTTCTTGGAGTCAAAGCAGACCAGCTCTAGGAGATGCCTTGCTAGAATTCTTCTGGATGCCTTCCTCCTGTCTTCAGCCATTCATCCAAACAAAGAAAGTAGGCTAGTCCTAGATCTGGGGGTAACTCTCCCAGAGGTCATTTCTTTGCTTCTTTTTTTTCTAGAGTAGAGTTGATTTCAGGGTAAAGATGGACCTTGGCTCATGGTATATGAAGACAAGTGCCTATAACTGAATAAGTGGGGAGGGGGGATGAAAAAAGCAGACAGACCCTCATGTCCTGATATATTTTTATCCATAGGGAATCTAACCCTTATCCTCTTGCTGATGTATGGTGTTTGGAAGAGAAAGGTCTTTTTCCCTTCAAGCTTCATTCATTCCTTTGTATTCAAGTCAAAGTAGCACCATAGTCATGATATCACAGCCCTTTCCTTAACCCCAAATTAAGCAAGCTTTTCAGCTCTTATCTGAGGAAATCATGTTCTTTCCATTTGGTACTGCATTCATCTCCTGGCTCCAGTTCTAAACAATACCAAGGACTCAGTTGAAGATGGACAACATATGTCAGAGGATGCAATGTCTGCATGGTTCTGTGATTTTTTCAATGCCCTCTGATGCAGACAAAGAGTAGCATAACAGATTAAAGAGGATCATTTAGGGAATCAATGGAAGGGAAGAAGGACAAGGAGAAAGACCTAAGGTTGAGAGTTTACATGATGGACTTATCAGAAAGTTCAGTTTGTCAAAGCATTTATAGTATACATATAGTATAGTTTATACACACACACACACACACACACACACACACACACACACACACACACAGAGCAGCAGCAGCAGCAGCATCAGGAGTGCTAATCACAGGAGGGACATGACAGCCAACAAGTATTTATTAATCATCGATGTGTCAAGAACCATGATAAGCACTTCTGGAGGTTCAAAGAAGGGGGTAGGAGGAAACAGTCTCTGCTCTCAAGTAGCTCACATTCTGTTAGAAAAGGTAACATATAAATAACCAGCTACCTACACAGCCTGCCCCTACACACACACACACACACACACACACACACACACACACACACACACACACACACACAAACACACACACACAGTAGTTGAAAAGTAATCTCAGGAAGACACTAGCAATAGGAATACTGGAAAAGGCCTCCTGTGGAAGATGGGAGCTGACCTGAGTCTTGAAGGAAGCCAGGGACACTTAAAAGGCAGAGGTCAGGAGAGAGAGCATTTCCAGGGATGGCTTACAGCCAGTGCAAAGGTACTGAGTGTCATGTATGGGCAACAGCAAATAGGCTGTTACATAGCTAGCTGTATCATTAAATTTGTGCAGAAGTACAAAGCATAAGATTAAAAATGGGAAGGGCCAGGTTGGGAAGAATTTTTAAAACAAAGAGAGGAGTTTATATTGTCAAGCTAGAAACAATATGATTTGCCACTGTATTGGATTAGTGGGGTGTAACTGAGTAAAGGATGACATTGAAGTTGTGAACCTGGGTAACTGGGTGGATGGCAGTGCATTCCACAGCACAAGGAAGTTTAGAAGATAGTGTGGCTTTAGGAGAAAGATAAAACACCAATTTAATAATTTTTAGTTTGAGATGTTTCTAGGTACTACAGTTCAAGATGTCCAAAAGGCTTATGGGAGTAGAGCTCAGGAGAGAGACTAGGGCTGGATATATAGTTCTAGGAATCATCTGCATAGAGATGATAATTGAATTTCTGGAAGCTGATGAGATCACCAAAGAAAGAAAAGAAAAGGGGCCCAGGTCAAAGCCTTGGGGGACACCCATGGTTAGTAGGCATGACATGAATGAAGAAAGACAGCAAGTAAAGTTTATGGTAGAAGAAGAGGAACTAGCTAGTGAAATTGTACCATATATTGACAAAGGCCAGGAAACAACCACAGTGATGGAGTGGCCAATGTATGATTTAGATGAAAGTCATTGAACACAAAGGGATGAGTATTATAGGATCACCAACATGAAGTGTTAAAGTTACCAGTGAAAATGGGACTGGAGGAGTTAAGAGGGAAAAAAAAGATCACTGAGCTGGGAGTCAGAGGGCCTTGGTCAAGTCCATTTCTTTAGGCCTCAGTTTCCTCATCTGTAAGTTGGAGTTGAACTGGGTGACTTTTAATAGTAGCTCCATTCATGAAACAAATATCCAGCCATACTAGGTGCCAGACTCTGGTACATGTTAGAGATAGTGATAAAAACAAAGCAATCCCTACCTTCAAGCAGTTTACATTCTTTTGGTGGAAGCAATTTACACATTTACAAGATAATGGAGGGAAAAACAACTATAAAATAATTTGGAAGAGGTGCTAGCTCCTGGGGACATCAAGAAAGGTTTCAAGTATGGGTGGCACTTGAGCTGAGCTTTGACAGAAGCTAAGGGTTCTAAGAGGCAACGGTGAGAGACACCCCTTCTCAACATAGGGGATACTGTGCAAAGGCAGACAAGAGCTGTTATGGTATATATGGGCCATTCTATGATTCCATAGTTCCTTAAATCCATTCCGATTCTGTGTCTGTTTCCTTCTACAGTGGATTGAGGACTTCTTACTTTCTAACATCCTGCTGGCTGTGGTCATTAGTTTCTTCGTCATAAGCTATTACTACCAAGAAACTGTACTGAAATTGTGGAGAGTCCCTTTCTCCTGATTTCAGACCCTCACCCCCCTCAACCACATTTGAGGAACAGATGGAGAAACTGTACATTTGACCCAGGCCCATCATCCCCATCCCAGTCCTTTCCCCCTTTCTGACCCTCCTATGGACTTTCTCTCTCCCCAGCCCTTCTCCTCAGTGGTCCTACACATTGGCTAGAGACCAATTTCATTTAACTCTGGGTCAGAGTGTGTGTGTGTGTGTTCTTGGAGCTAAGAGGTTGGGGTTGGGGGTAGTGGGGAAGGCAAGGTGAGAAGGAAGGGGAAAGATACAAGATGAGCTCTTCTCACTCATGAGGCTGACTGGGAGAAAGCTTCAGCGAACAGTAGGCCACCGTCTACTCATGTCTCCCCAGCTGGGGAGTGAGTGTGGGGAGGGTATTTGGGGAAGAACAGAGTAAAGACAAAGAAACAGTAGCTGGCTATGTGATTGGATCCCAGGATCAGAGTAGGGGAATGAGGGGAGGGTCAGGAGGGAAGTGCCTCCATCCTGAGTTTGAATAAAGTTCTAAGTCACACAATAAACCCTATGGAGACAAATCTGGCTCCCTACTTTTTTCACCCTTGCTACTGGGGGTAGGAGGGGCAGGATATATGAAGGGAGTGAAAGAAAAGAAGCTATAGGAAAGGTGCACTGTAATATAATGGATAATCAGGAAGATGTAGGTCAAGCTTTGCCCCCAATATACACTGGCTTGTGCAACCATGAATAAGTTACCTAGACTCTCAGTTCTCCAAGACGAGTGGCTGGGGAAATCCGTACACTGGGAATTCCCTATATGGATGGAATCAAGGGTCCAGACCATAAAAGGTGGCAGGGGGAGGAATAGAATGCCTCTGTTTAGGCCAAATACTGTATGGCTGGGGATAGAGGTAGGTACAAAGGGACAAGTCTTATCATCAAGGGGCATACAAACACGAGACTACCTCTGAGTTTCCTTATACTACACAAATCAGCAACACCATTCAGGGCTTCACTTGCAAACTGAGTCCTAGATCGAGTTCTCAATTCATTTCAGTAGCAGTAAAATGATGCTAAATTAAATCAGTAGAACTGATGTACAAAGAAACACCTATACATTTATAGCATTAAAAAACTACAGTTACAACATATTTTCCCCAAATTTCTCTAGAATTTTACATTCTAGGGTATCTGGAATCAAAAGTCCTAGAAAGAAAATCTCTCCAGAGGTCTCCACAAAAATGAAGGGCCAAATTTTAATCCAGACAAGGGCCTACATCTAACACTAAAAGTTTCCATTTTCTCTGACAAGTTACCTGTGACTACATGCTGTATGTCTTTCCTCTGGGGGGGAAAAAGGTTATTTTCTCAGAAACACAAAATTTGAGAATCGGAAGGGGATCTTTGGGACACTAGTACAACCTGAAAAAATTCATTATAACATGCCTGGCAAGAATGGCCCTCACCAACATGCCTCTTGGCTAATCAACATATTTTTAATTCTTATGAGAAAGACTTCACGCCACCAAATTGTCACACAAAAGGGTGGGAGACTTTTTTCCATACCTCAATAGAAAGTGTCATAGTCCACACTCTCAAGTGAATTAGAATATGTGAATTATTTTCCTGACCTTTGATCCTTGAGGTTAGCTGGGATGCCATGCAAAACGTGTTAAAGCTTTGATAAAGATCCCAGAAAGCTTGGCCAAAATGCATAGGATTAGATATCCTTACTCTGTATTCCTGCCACCACCACTTAGCTCCCTGTCCCCCTTACACTGTAGCCCTAGTTACAGTTCCTATATAACACAGACCTCACCCCCACCCCCGGCCTCTACCCCTTGAAGTCCAGGTATGTTACCTTTTTTTACTCCGTCCTCAGGTGCTGGCGTTCTAGTACCCTTAAGGGAATTTGGGGGGTCCTGCCATTGTCTCTAATCCCTACTGCTGTTCCCTCAATCGCAGGGGTGTTTTCTACCCCAATTCCATTAGTCACATATATTAGCTTTTACACAGAGGAAATTTAATTCAAAAGGTATAATCACAAATATCCAAACATACTCTGCCCCTCTACACATATGCAAGAACTACATAATCCTTCACCTCCTCCTCCTTACCCTTATACCACCCCAGCCTCTTGGGAGGAGAACAGCAACAGGTTCATGGCTTAGTTTTGTTCCCATAAAACATAATCATGGTTACAATTTCAAAATTCCCTTCATGCCTGAGTCCCAGGCATGGCAGGGGATGAAGAGGGTTTTTTTTTTTTTAAGGTAAATTGGGCATGCTCTAAACATAGCCAGAGAAGCCTGGATTACCTATTACCCCTGTTTGAAATTTGCCTTCTAGGATATTAGGCAAGGGCACATTTCTTTTTTTTATAGTGCTCATCCCAAATTCAGAACGGTTCTCCATGGTCTCTGAGGAAGCATAAGCAATGTCCATCTACTTGCTTCCCCAGTGACTTACCGTAAAGTCTCAAGTATCATATACAGTCCCAAATGGACAGATAAAATTATCTCCAAACAAAAACTTCTGCAGATTTACATAACAAGGAATACTTCATGAAGTTCCCCAAATAAGTCAACAAAATAAGTGTTTTACTAAGTTTACTAAATATCTCTGCTTCTTTAGCCTTATTAGCCTTATAAGTCCTTTTCTCAACTCACAAGCAAACGAAAGCAAAAGACAAAACTGACTCCCGACTTGAACAGAAACCTGGTCCACACTGAGCTTTCCAAACTACATAGACCCCCAATTGACCAATGGTCAAAGGATATGAACAGGCAGTTCTCAGAAGAAGAAATAAAAGCTATCAATAGTCTTAAGAAAAATGCTCTATATCGCTAATAGGGAAATGCACATGAAAACAAATGAGGTACCCCCATCAGATTGTCTAAGATGACAGAAAAGCAAAATGACAAATTCTGGAGAGGATGTGGAAAAACACTAGTGCATTGTTGATAGAGTTATAAATTGGTCCAACCATTCTGGAGAACAGTTTGGAACTACACCCAAAGGGCTATAAAACTGCATACTCTGATCCAGCAATACCACAACTAGGTCTGTATCCCAAAGAGATCAAAGGAAAAGGAAAAGGACTTACATGTACAAAAATATTTATAGTAGACTTTTTTGTAGCAGCAAAGAATTGGAAACTGAGAGGATGCCCATCAATTGGGGAATGAATGAGTAAGTTATGGTATATCAATATGATAGAATACTATTGTACTGAAGAAATGATGAGGGGGATGGTTTCAGAAAAATCAGGGAAGACTTACGCGAGCTGATTCAACATGAAATGAACAGAACTAGGAGAACTTTGTACACAGTAACAACAATATTGTAATGATAACTGAAAGACTTAGCTACTCTGATCAATAGAATGATCCACAACAGTTCTGAAGCTCTCAAGATGAAAAATGCCATCTACCTCCAAAGAGAGAATTGATGGGACTCTGAGTGCAGACTAAAGCTTTTATTACACTTTATTTTTCTTGCTTCCTCCACCCCATCACAACATGGCTCATGTGGAAATATGTTTTATATGATTTCATATATATAAGGGTCATCCTATATCTTGCCTTCTTAATAGATGGGGGAGGGGCCAAAGGAAGGGAGAGAATTCAAAACAGAATTTAAAAAAAAAAAAGCTACATGGAGCTCTCCCCACAGGGATTTGGGTCCTGAGGTTACCTTGCCATTGTCCTTTTCTCAAATGAGAAAACTAACATGGGTAGAAACTTTTTCAATAATTCCTTCAGTGCATAAAACCATCCAACCAGGAATTGCATGAAAAATGTCCCCTTCTGCACAGAGAAACCAAAACAAAAAGTGTCTCTTTTTACTCAAGCCACACAAAAACAAAAAGTATTCCTTTCTACACAAGGCACACTAAAATTCTCTGGAGATCCCTCTAACATAGGCAATACCCACAGAGGTCCAGGCAATACCTTTGGGTCCTTTATTCCAAAGAGCACCTAAATTTCCCCACGAATCCTTGCAACTGCCAAGGCAAACCAAATAGAACTGAAAAGACCCATCAGGACAAGAAAAATAGGCTCAGGGAAGTAGCAAAGAATGTGAACTACTTATGGATTTAAGGCACAGGCTTTCTCACCCTACACAGCTGTGGAACATTTTGCTTTAACAAAAAGCAAGCAGCCTAGGTCTGATTAAAGGTAATAAGAATATGAACATTTCTACTGGACAATAAAAATTCAACAATAAAGATTATATCGATAAACCAATCTTTCTACAAAATTCAATAATACAAAAACTATCAGTACATAAATAGTCAAGCAATCAACAAATAAAAAATTTGACAAATTAAATCAGTGGAAGTGATGCATGAAGAAACACCTATACATTCACAGAATAAAAAAACCCTACACATTTACAGCATACTTTCTCCAAATTTCTCTAGAATCTTACATTCTAGGGTTTCTAGAATCAAAAGTCCTAGAAAGAAAATCTCTCCAGGGGTCCCCACAAAAGCAAAGGGCCAAATTTTAATCTAGACAAGGGCCTACATCTAACATCGGACCTTTTACAAAGGAATAGTTACTCAAAGATATAATCACAAACATACAAACCTATTCCTCCTAACGTGGAAGGCATAATCATAGCTTAGTTCAGTTCCCATAGAACAGTCCAAGTTCCAAATCTGGCCTGTGTCTCAGACACCCAGGTTTCACAAGGCTTCCATGTTTGCCTTGCTGGCTGCACTACCCCATTTGTGATCCTGGCTCCAAGCACCAAGGTCACCATGGCTCAAACCCCTCTTCTGGCATCTGAAACAGGATAAACAACTTACAACAAAAACAAACACTCCCCCACTCTGCCGCATTTCTTGCGGATGAAAAGAAAGGGAACAAGGAAGGATTTTCCTTTCACTCTCACCAATTCAGTTCATGGTGTACACACTAAGCATCCATGCAGAATGAAACAGATAGCTCGGCCCATAGGAGTTACAGAAAAGAGCCCAGCCATAAAGAAGGTGGAAAAGAGAACGACTGGCTGAGTCCTCGGGGCAGACTTCTGCACAGTAACTTGCCCTGTGGGAAGCAGAAAAAGGAGGAGTTCTGAGACCCATCCTTGGAACAAGACTTCAGGCGTTTCTAGCAAGGGGACTGTTTTTTTCCTTCAAGTTGCTAAGAGCTCTTCTCAATCAGTTCAGCCCTGGACATAAGAGCGCTCTGGCTACAATATCTGGGATATTAATTGTGGCAGCCTTGTTAGTAACCTTCCTAGCACTGAGAAGACTGAAATAAGAGGTTTCAGAAATAAAAATTACACTTGTTTGTGGTTAAAAAAAAATAGAAAAGATGATAGAAAAGAGAATGATCAGTTCAGTCATACCAATTTTAGAGACACAGGCAGCCAATGAAAGGAAGCTATCCCCTCCCAAGTGGTAGGGAGCGAAGAGGATTCCATGTTTGGCAAAATGCTCAAAAAGGCCCCTCGAGGATGTCTCCATGTTAGAACTGGGCATACCTAGAAAAGCCTGGGCTACACCTATAAACAATACCCAGGAAACAGATACATTTCGATAGTGTATTCAACATTAA